CCACACCTGTGAGATGGATGGATTATCTCGGCAAAGGAGAAGTGCTCACTAACACAGATTGTGACACAGAAAGTGTGTATATATATATATATATATATATATAAGAACAAAAGCATTCAAGCTCAAGCAGAGAAAATGGAAAAAATAAAGCAGAACGTGCCAATTACAGTACAGAACATACACTGGAGTCAGCTTATGTTTATCGTGTTTATATTCTCACATCAAGTTAATGTTGAGAAAAACAATAATATCCACATGAAAGTTGGCTCCTCAGTCTGATAACAATAAGAACACGAGCTGCAAAGACGTTCCAGAGACACAAAGATAACAGTGTGCTAAGCAAACTTTCTTACAGCGCTTTGTGTTTTCTGTTCTTAAACCACTCTCCCTCAAGGAAACTTAAAGGAAGCATATGTCTCAAGATCATTTCGCTATCAGATAAGCTCTCTTCTCGGCTCACTCGGGGCACAGCTGCACTTACCTGCAGTCGTGAATGCAGTGATAGACAGCTGTCTTTCCTCAGTCGACTGGTGTTTGGATTTAATTTGATTTCTCATTGTGTTGGTGAACTGGAGATATTATGATAACTCAGTTCCACTGATTCATTTGATCAAAAGTAATTCCATTATCCATTTACCATTCCATTTCAGGGCTCGCAAAATCGCTAGCCCGACATCCCGGGGCTATTGTGTTATCTAGTTGGGCTACCAAAATTTATCACTGCCCTGCCTGACGGGCTATCTTGAATAGTGATATTATAATTCCTTCCGTGATTCGCGTTGTTTACTCACCTGTAGTGGTGAACCGGATCGTAGCTGATGTAGCACCTGTTTCTAGATCTTGCCGATTTAAAAATTCAAGCGTTTTAAACCATTCAAGCACATGAAGAGGCTAAAGAGAATTAAATTTGGTGCTCACACGCTGTTATTTGCACGCACACACTCAAAGCGCGCACACAGAGAGCGGCATTTCATACAGCGTGTGAACACTGAAATACTTCCTCTTTCGCGTCTCCTTGCACTTGAACGGACACATACACACAAAATTACCTCAAAATATACCTATACCTATAAATGCCTGCTGTTCCATAATCGCCACCTGCTGTCAGAGAGTGACATTTGCGTCTCATTCAGCCCGTTTGCTGTGTTTGTTTCATTCAGATTTTTTATGTACTGTAGTTTCACAAAGCTTAAGTTAGACCATTCTGATTTTACTTCAAATTTCTAAATTTTACAATCTAAATAACATGTATTTAGTATCTTTGTTTGGATGCAGTGGTTGCCTCTAAGTTTGAAAGAGCACAGGCAAAGTCTTAGTTCGTTTATATGAAGAGATTTCTTTTATTTGGATTATTTATTTGTTTGATTTAGGATTTGTTTTAAAATTTCAAGTTAGTTTTATTATTTGACATTTCAATTTCACAAAGAAATGTGCAGCATTTTGTCTGAGAAATAATAAAAGGACACCTTTTCATTTATAATTTGTCTTCTCATTTTGTTTAAAAAAAAATCGTGAGAAAACTGTATTGTAAAATCAATATCGTGAATCATATCGCATCGTGAGTTTTGTTAATTGTTACATCCCTATATGCTACTAGTTTTTGCTGTGGTATCGAAGAAGTAAAGTGTTCTTTAAATAATAAGTGTTATTTAAATAATAAAGAACCATATTTTTTTTGCTCATCCGAAAAATGATCCAATCCGTGACTCAAAATCTGTAATATGATCCGAGCCGTGAGTTTTGGGATTTGTTGCACCCCTACTCTCTTGACTTGTTATTTGAAGAAAAAATACAATCACTGAAGTTTTCGATCATGCTGATTTGTCCGCAGTGAAATTCAGCCAATGTCTTTTTTTTTTCTTTTTTTTTATTCGGGCTAGTTAAATTTATTTTGGGCTACCAAAATATGAAGAATGCCTGCCCGAAGGGCTACCAGGGATTTTGAAATTTTGCGAGCCCTGCATTTACCATAATTCCAATTACCATTATCCTTCCTCACCAAATGTTACATTTGGCACAATGCAGTCAGTTAGGTAACATTCTCCTGGTATCTGCCAAACCCAGACTCACCCATCAGACTGCCAAAAAGAGAAGTGTGATTGGTCACTTGACAGAACATGTTTCCACTGCTCCAGAGTCCATTGGTTGTGTGCTCTTCATATGACGCTTGGCATTGTACTTGGTGATGTGAGGCTTGTATGTGGCTGCTCGGCCTTGAAAACCCATTCCATGAAGCTCGTTCCACACATTTTTTGTGCTGGTATTAATGCCAATGGAAGTTTGGAACTCTTCAGTTATGGAATCAGCAGAGCGTTGGGGGGTATTATTATTATTTTTTAAATGCAGCACCCCCTGAGACCCCACTCTGTGATTTGTGTGGTCTTTTTCACTTTGTCACTTTTTTTCCAACTTCCAAATAAAACCACTTAAGGTTAACAGTGAATTTTTTGTTTTTTCCCCACAAATGTTTGTAAATGCAGACTGCATGCTAGGTGCTTGGTTTTACACACCTGTGGCAATGGGTCTGATTGAAATACCTGAATTCAATAATTTAGAGATACTTTTGTCCATAGTGTCCATGTAACATGCACAGAATTGAGAGAAGTTGTAAAGAATAAGTGATGGAGCTCCGTAAACTGAACGTACAGAAATGATCCATCACCCAAGTTATTTTGGTACACCATCAACTCATCTCAAGTATTATAAACATGCAAGTGACATTACATTTATATAGTTGTAAATGTGTATATATATAACTTTGCTACACAGTTCTTTAAATGGGCCTCACTGGTACTTAATGACAGATGGATCTATAGAGTAAACAGCATGGTGGATAGTGCTTCATCTCAAGACCATTTGCTTAACATATGTTAGTGTTAATATATATATATTTTTTGTCATAACCTTTTAAAATCCTATTTATCATGTAGCATTTGGACCAATCAGACACACAACTATTTGTTATATTTAACAAATAATATCTAATGCCCCCTCACCTAACCAAAGGGCCAACTATGAGGGTTTATTCAGTCAGGCTTCAGTATTCCTCGGAGAAAGACGTTTCCTCCAATGCAACAGCATCTGACACAACATTGAAAGACCGATATTTACAAGGAACATTGAAGTTTCAGGCTTTAAAGCACTCATAATAAATGTTGAAAGTGTTTTGTTGCATGAAGATGAGTGGTGTTTTAGCCTGTGTCCAATTTTATCTGTCTCTCTCTCTGTCTATCACTCTCAGTCTCAGTTTACTACCTTCTTGGCCCCCTCTGTCCTTCTAAAGTTGGAATTTGCCTTGACGTAGCGATGCTAATATTTGTGGTCGACCATCCGTTTACCCATCACAGTGCTCTGTGTTGACAGAACATCTATCTGAGTTATGGAGTGTATATGAATGTATTCTTTTATCAAAGGTCCGGGACTGGTAAATCATAAAAAAATAGTTATTTTATTCAATTTAAATTTGTTCTCTTTTATAAATGAACGAATGGCGCTTTAGCACCTTTGATAAACACACTTGATGACAGATGAACTGTTTTAGTTAGGGCTGTGCAATTAATCGCATGCGATTTTTGTCTTGCACATCTCGTCAGTAAAGCCGGTTCTGTGATTAGTAGTAAATCTCCATCACCTGCTTTCAGATGGAGTGGCATTTACTACACAGAGCCGTAGTTCACTGACAATTAGGCAATATCATGTTCATAATCGCAGATGAATCGCATTCGATTATGCACGCGATATTGCCTAGCTTGTCAGTGAACTACGGCTCTGTGTATTAAATGCCGCTCCATCTGAAAGCAGGTGATGGCGATTTACTACCAATCACGGAACCGGCTTTACTGACGAGATGCGCTTGACAATCACATGTGATTTAATTCCACAGCCCTAGTTTGAGTCAATTTAAGGCCAAATGGAACATCATTAATTAAAGTGTTGGAAGATGTGACACTTCTGCTGTTCTTCTCAAACTCATGATCCTAAAAGTACACTTTGTTTACACAAATCCCCACTGCCCATTAGGACAAGATCATGTTTAAGACTACGAGGGGTTTGGAGCCAGATGTCCTGTAGGTGATTTGTGTGTATTTATTGGTGAGGACAACACCAGTGGGATTCCAGCCGAGATCTAGTGTTGTGTTGCCGCACGGACAGGAAAAGCCAAACCTTGGTGTCCTGCTCCATGGCAGTTACTCCCATGTTACTCCCAATAATTTTTTTAAAAAGGGTGTCATGAGAGCTCCAGCTGGATTCGATTACACGTGGACAGCTCTGCGTTAATCAAATGCTTGGAAATATCCTTTTATTTGTGCCGCCTGTTCTTGGAGTTCCCTAATGCTTAACTAAATGGATACAGCAGACTAGAGCAGATTATCCAGGCATGTAACCCCTGACTGGCATGTTTCGTGGAAGGCTACATGGTGTAATCCTTTGAGGTGCATCTCGTAGTACGGGACATAATGTCCATAACCAGATCTGTGTGATCTGTTACAGCTGTGCGCTCTGAGGTCATAGTTGTGGCTCAGGAAATCATATGATCCTTACCTTAGATGTGGGCGGCATTACGACTGTGGTTCTTCCTGGCAGTGCATAAGTCATTTGTTAAGTATGCAGATGCTATTCTAGTGGCTTTACTTGTACCCTGTTTTAGAATGGAGCACTGCTGGGTCTACTAATATACATACATTATGAGTAATAGCCTCATTAGATTGTCTGGCAGTGGTTTTAGTTGCTAATCCCCACAATCTCAGTGACAGTTCAGATTAAGCTGTCTAGTGCGGCTCATTTTTCACAGGAATAGCTGCTTTATGAAAGTGTACAGCATGTAAAATGTTGCCCCGGTCTTGTTAAACGAGCTGGATTGTCATTGAAAATACAGTCATTAAACCAGCTAATGACTAGCAGGAGACTGCTGATTGGTTGCTTGGCTGCAGCAGGAGATGCTTTTGCAGATTTTGGCATTGACTGAAGTCTATTTCTGTTTGCAAACTCTTCACTGTTTGCAAAATTTTTATTTTATGTGCCAGTTCTGAAATGATCTGACTTGCTTTGAAGCTATGGAATGGAAATAGTCTTTATTAACTAATATCTAATATTGACATGGTTATCATTAGATTTCCATATATACTAGTGTTCAAAGGTTTGGGGTCTGTAAGAATTTATTTATTGATGAATTGATACTTTTATTAAGCAAAAATACATTAAGTGACAGTAAAGACTTATATTGTTGCAAAGGATATGTGTTTCAAATAAATGCTTTTCCTTTGAACTTTCTATTCATGAAAGAGTCCTATCACCAAAATATTATGTAGCAGCACAATTGCTTCCAACTTGGTTAGTAACAACAAATGATTCTTTTGCATAATAAAATATTCTTCTTGAGCACCAGATCAGCATATAAGTAGGCTGATTTCTGAAGGATCATGTGACACTGAAGATTCAGCTTTGTCATCAGAAGAATAAATTACTTTTTAAAATAGAAAAAATATTTCACAGTATTACGGTTTTGCTGTATTTGATCAAATGAATGCAACCTTGGTGAGCATAAGAGACTCAAAACATAAAAATATTAAAAAGGAAATATTTCAGATATTTTAGTAGTTTATTAAAAAAAAAGAAGAAAAAAAGAGGCTAATTATCTAATTCCCTGCCCAGTATTTTAATCTAATCAACAATGATGAGATGTTGTCAAGATGAGTGTACTTAGACACTTGCCATGTTTTGGAGTTTTGTTATTGTCTATATAAAATGTCTTTCCTGTAGGGTCCTAATTTACTATTGGTCTGAATCATCATCTTTGTACAGTTTTTTTTAACTAACTGTATTTGAGATACAAGCAAATGTAAAGGATTGTGGTATAATTCAATGTGTGAATGCTCTGCTAGTCTCTTCTTGGTTTTATGTGTTTTAATATGCTATGCAGAGTATGCGCTTTAAGCAGACTATAAGTACACCATTTGTAGGTTGATTTCTTCAATGTGTAAACTTTAGTTGTGTACAGAGTAGGGGTTGAACGACTTCTGATTTTTTGAAGTCGACTTTTATGTGATGAAAGTCGAGTCGAAGTCGACTAGTCGCTGATGACGTCATTAATGAACAAATAAGTCTGGAGCTGTGATAAACACCTTGTGCACAGCTATGGCATATGACACAGTGCTGCCCACATGGCTGTTGCTCCTATAACAGCTTTTTTTATCAGTTCTTTTGTCTTTAAGTCGTTATATTTCTCACAGATTTCTGCTCGTTCTAAATCAGATACAGATAAAGTAGCACAGTAAAGATTACATTAATATGAATGCATTAGTGAGAGAGCGATTATGTGTGTAAATTAATTCTACCTGGCAGCGTCTCTCTACTAGTAGTGAAGCTGTGGAATTTAGTTAAGAAATATATGCTTGAACTTTTCAGTTTCAGTTTTCAACATTTGAACTGTTTGGAAACGGAGCGTAAATGTGGAAGTCCTTCAAAGGTTTCTTATCCTGTTGTGCCCTCTATAGGACCAGCGACTAGTCGACGTCAAGCTTAAAGCGTCATGGCAGAGCATTGAAGTCGACTAGTCGATTAGTCGGTGCAACCCCTAGTACAGAGTAATAAAATTGCTCTGTTTGTTTAAAGGTGCCATAGAATGAATTGATACAATATTTTAAATTGTTCTCTGATATCTACATAGACGGTATGTGGCTTAGGTAAGGGAAAAAAATCTCCAGAAACGGTTTTACGGGTGACCGTCCTTTACAACCCTAGGATTTGTCCCTAGAATGAAATGGTCTGTTTTTACCTTATTTGGAAGGGTCATGAATAATAATGTTGAGTTCTGCTCTGATTGGCTGTTTCGCCGTGCATCTCAATCTCACAGTGTGGCTCATTTCAGTTGCTCACACAGCAGGAATGAAACACAGGGAAAATATATATTTCAATACTGTCTCTCGCAATTATATCGTTGGGTATCGTAGGATCTGTAAATCATTCGCCATCATCCTCAGTCATCTTTCCTTACTCTGTTTATGTGGTAAGTGAAATCTTATGTACTGTAATGTAACAGGCTACCGCTAGCAAGCAGCTAACCATATCCCTTTAGTGGCTCACATTATTTTATTAGAACGCGCGTTATTTGTTTTCCGTGCCTTTCTGAATACAGACACCAACCCATCCCTGCACAGCCTGTAACATAACATTTATTTCCAT